TGTCTGAGGGCTAGTGTACAGTCCTAACATAAGAATCTACTTGTCTGAGGGCTAGTACACTAGCCCTAACATAAGAATCTACTTGTCTGAGGGCTAGTACACTAGCCCTAACATAAGAATCTACCTGTCTCTTGGGCTAGTGTACTAGCCCTAACATAGGAATCTACCTGTCTCTGGGGCTAATGTACTAGCCCTAACATAAGAATCTACCTGTCTCTGGGGCTAGTGTACAAGCCCTAACATAAGAATCTACCTGTCTCTGGGGCTAGTGTACTAGCCCTAACATAAGAATATATCTGTCTCTGGGGCTAGTGTACAAGCCCTAACATAAGAATATACCTGTCTCTGGGGCTAGTGTACAGCCCTAACATAAGAATCTACCTGTGTCTAGGGCTAGTGTACAAGCCCTAACATAAGAATCTACCTGTCTCTGGGGCTAGTGTACAGCTCTTACATTCCAAATGTGAAAACTGCTCTATGATATAAATGTAGGTGAAAGAAACATCATTTCCAGATTGGAAACAGGAAATGAGATTAAATTTAGTTTGCTGTTGTTGTTTTTTTATGTCGTGTTCAAGTTAAACACTTATTGAATAAAACTAGACCTTTTTTAAGGGTCGATGGTTTTTCAAAACTGAGGTGCTAGATTAAAGATCAAGTTACAAGTATTTCTACACTTGGCAATCAACTAATGTTTTAACCAACTATACACCATGTATTTATAAAAGTTTTCCACTGGTAAGTCAGCTGATCAGTTTTCTTTAGCTGGTTCCAGTGTTACACCTGTGGTAGATCAATGACTCTGTCTGACTTGTGTCTCTGTCCGTTCTGGGCAAGGACGCTCTTGTTTGGACTTTGTCTTCTGTTTCTTGAGAGTTGATGGAGAATATGTTGAGATCTCGATCATAGTTTTTGAAACAAACACAAACATTCCTGCATATCAATTGAATTAAAATGAAGTGTATGAACAATGGCTTTCATGACTCGGTGTTGTGGTTGAAAGTTTAATGTCTGATCGTCAACTTCTTGAACAAAATCTAGTTAAATTGGGCAAACAAAAAATGTGTTTCCTGCTTCTGCGTGAAAAAAATGGCTGGTAGGTATGCAACATTTTTTTGAAAATATTTTTGCTGTATTTATGTAATCAGGAATTCTGACTTTAACCCATCTACCCCTGTGGAACTTAGAAGATTCTACCAGGCATTGATATGGATTAGTCCATTATGGTCTACAGTCATTAAAGGGTGAACAGTGCTTATCACTAAATGCCAATAAAATACTTAAGGTAGGCACATAAATCTAGAGTCTGTAGGGAAAACGGAAACATCCAATATTTGTTTTGGCCTTAAATGTCTTTAACTCCAGCAGCAATGGAATAGAAGCATGATGGATAATGTCCTAATAATCTAAAATGTCCTTGACCTTACAGAGACATGTTTTGTGCTGGCCGTGTAGCAGATGGATAATGTCCTAATAATCTAAAATGTACTTGACCTTACAGAGACATGTTTTGTGCTGGCCGTGTAGCAGATGAAGATTTGAGGAGGACAATGAAGGCGTGTGGAGGATCCATTCAAACCTCCATTCAGAGTCTTGATGACGGTGTCCTTGGCCGCTGTGAAAAGTTTGAGGAGATCCAAATTGGAGGAGAAAGGTCAATATTATTGTCGACTTTTAGTTATTAAACTTGTCAGGTATTTCATAACTGTAAGACTTTGGTGTTCAAAGTTCCTAATTAGAAAAGAAAGGTCAATATTATTGTCGTCTTTTAATTATCAAACTTATCAGGTATTTCATAACTGTAAGACTTTGGTGTTCAAAGTTCCTAATTAGAAAAGAAAGGTCAATATTATTGTCGACATTTAGTTATTAAACTTATCAGGTATTTCGTAACTATATAAATACCTCTGTGTTTAAACTTAACGGTAGACCCATAGACGATCACAGTAAAAATCTGTGTAGGTGTACAGGAATCTTAGACTTCATAGACACAGTTATTTATGAAGTTATTTCCTATGATGTGTGTCATTTAGTGATAAGTATAGTGGTGAGCAAAACGGTGCTCTTTTTACTCATTCCGTTCCTTTATTATTTCACATATTTTCTTAATTTAATGTGATCAACCACAATATTTACAAGTTAAGTTTTCTCTGTAAAGGTCTGGTGTATGAAAATTTAATGTGATCAACCACAATATTTACAAGTTAAGTTTTCTCGGTAATGGTCTGGTGTATGAAAATTTAATGTGATCAACCACAATATTTACAAGTTAAGTTTTCTCGGTAAAGGTCTGGTGTATGAAAATTTAATGTGATCAACCACAACATTTACAAGTTAAGTTTTCTCGGTAATGGTCTGGTGTATGAAAATTTCAGTAAGTCTCCCAAGCTTATTGTCTATGGTGTGTAAATTCTAAATTCTAAGACTGTTTCCTTTGTGTTTACATCTTGGGATTAGCCTCCAGGTTATAGAGTTTGTTAAATGCTAGGTTATGTTTCCTATACCATATCACTATCTAATAACTTAGGGTTCAAGTTATCCAAAGTATGTCAAATTCCTCGCTTTCCTTGTCCATGGATATCAGAGGGCCAAAGCTTTGGGAAATCATTAGAGATATAAACTTGAACATACTTGCAATGCTTTTGTTTTTGCAAGCCAAGCTCTCTCTGACAAAAAGAAGTCTCAAATAAAATAAAAAAAATCTCTGTTTTTTTGTCTCTGTCTTTTGACAAAAAACAACAACAACAAATAACACTGCAAATAATTTCTATATTTATTAAATTTTGTGACATTCCCTGGCCTTCTGCATCCAAACTACCAGGCTTCTATATCCAAACAGGCTGCTCTATGTTGCTTAAGTGCCAGAACGACAGATTCCATCTGTTAAAGTAAAAATAAAAAATAAAGGGAGATATATTATTAACATTGGAGCATATTATTTCAACCAAAACCAAAGGCTGATAATTTTGGAATTGTCCATCCTATCACTAGTTTTAATACTGGTTATCTATTTCCATATCCTCAGTTGATGATTATCAGTCAAAAAAAAGACAATTTGTTAGCAAAAAAGAAAATTGTACATCAGTGACTGAAAACAAAATATTGGCAAATTGTCGTCTCAAGCATTGTGCAAGAATAACACAATTCAAGTGGAATATGTCGTTATAAGTGCCCTGGTAAATATAACTTGTTATTGATTATCAAAATTAAAGAGAAAGTCATTGAAAATATCCTGACAGTGTCTAATGTAAACACACCCGTGAACGTGCATCGTTATCGCCAGGCATCACTTCACGGGACTGATCTATCTACTCTACTGTAATCAAATTAAAACAACACTTTTCCCGAACCCTAACTTAACCTCATTGTTCTCCAAAGAGCACCCCTCTGAACAAGACAATGGAGCTATAATTGAATAATTGGCGATTTTGATAGCAGGCAGTGTCGTTGTGTTGACGGGTGACTTTTGTTAAAACACGAAAGAGTTCCAATACCTGAACTTGCCATTTATCGGAAATCCAGTCATCCGTTGCGTTCTAGTACACAGCGATGTCAGGGACAGAAAATTTACCTGTAGAAATTGCTCTAGAAACAGTTATCGCCAAAATAAAATTCTTTTGTTGACAGTAACTTCAATAAAACTCCCTTATCTGCATTTTTCGCCAAGAACATTTTCAAATCGCCAATCATGTTTTACTTTCGAAAATGGCGCCAGCGCGAGCCCTGCAAGTTAATTCCTATGATTTTTGTTATTTAGTGATAAGTATAGTGGTGAGCAAAATGGTGCTCTGTTTACTCATTTTCTTAATTTAATGTGATCAACCACAATATTTACAAGTTAAGTTTTCTCGGTAAAGGTCTGGTGTATGAAAATTTAATGTGATCAACCACAACTTAAAAAGTTTTCTCGGTAAAGGTCTGGTGTATGAAAATTTCATGTGATCAAACACAACATTTACAAGTCAAGTTTTCTTGGTAAAGGTCTGGTGTATGAAAATTTAATGTGATCAACCACAACATTTACAAGTTAAGTTTTCTCGGTAAAGGTCTGGTGTATGAAAATTTCAGTAAGTCTCCCAGGCTTATTGTCTATGGTGTGTAAATTCTAAATTCTAAGACTGTTTCCTTTGTGTTTACATCTTGGGATTAGCCTCCAGGTTATAGAGTTCATTAAATGCTAGGTTATGTTTCCTATACCATATCACTATCTAATAACTTTAGGGTTCAAGATATCCAAAGTATGTCAAATTCCTCGCTTTCCTTGTCCATGGATATCAGAGGGCCAAAGCTTTGGGAAATCATTAGAGATATAAACTTGAACATACTTGCAATGCTTTTGTTTTTGCAAGCCAAGCTCTCTCTGACAAAAAGAAGTCTCAAATAAAATAAAAAAAATCTCTGTTTTTTTGTCTCTGTCTTTTGACAAAAAAAAACAACAACAAATAACACTGCAAATAATTTCTATATTTATCAAATTTTGTGACATTCCCTGGCCTTCTGCATCCAAACTACCAGGCTTCTATGTCCAAACAGGCTGCTCTATGTTGCTTAAGCGCCAGAACGACAGATTCCATCTGTTAAAGTAAAAATAAAAAATAAAGGGAGATATATTATTAACATTGGAGCATATTATTTCAACCAAAACCAAAAGCTGATAATTTTGGAATTTCCCATCCTATCACTAGTTTTAATAGTGGTTATCTATTTCCATATCATCAGTTGATAATTGTCAGTCAAAAAAAAGACAATTTGTTAGCAAAAAAGAAAATTGTACATCAGTGACTGAAAACAAAATATTGGCAAATAGTCATCTCAAGCATTGTGCAAGAATAACACAATTCAATGGAATATGTCATTATAAGTGCCCTGGTAAGTATAACTTGTTATTGATTATCAAAATTAAAGAGAAAGTCATTGAAAATATCCTGACAGTGTCTAATGTAAACACACCCGTGAACGTGCATTGTTATCGCCAGGCATCACTTCACGGGACTGATCTATCTACTCTACTGTAATCAAATTAAAACAACACTTTTCCTGAACCCTAACTTACCTCATTGTTCTCCAAAGAGCACCCCTCTGAACAAGACAATGGAGCTATAATTGAATAATTGGCGATTTTGATAGCAGGCAGTGTCGTTGTGTTGACGGGTGACATTTGTTAAAACACGATAGAGTTCCAATACCTGATCTTGCCATTTATCGGAAATCCAGTCATCCGTTGCGTTCTAGTACACAGCGATGTCAGGGACAGAAAATTTACCTGTAGAAATTGCTCTAGAAACAGTTATCGCCAAAATAAAATTCTTTTGTTGACAGTAACTTCAATAAAACTCCCTTATCTGCATTTTTCGCCAAGAACATTTTCAAATCGCCAATCATGTTTTACTTTCGAAAATGGCGCCAGCGTGAGCCCTGCAAGTTAATTCCTATGATTTTTGTTATTTAGTGATAAGTATAGTGGTGAGGAAAACAGTGCTCTGTTTGCTCTGTTTACTCTGTTTGCTCTGTTTACTCTGACATTTCTTTATTATTTTACATATTTTCTTAATTTAATGTGATCAACCACAACATTTACAAGTTAAGTTTTCTGGGTAATAGTCTGGTGTATGAAAATTTAATGTGATCAGCCACAACATTTACAAGTTAAGATTTCTCGGTAATGGTCTGGTGTGTGAAAATTTAATGTGATCAACCACAACATTTACAAGTTAAGTTTTCTCGGTAATGGTCTGGTGTGTGAAAATTTCAGTAAGTCTGTAAAAAAATCTCCCATGCTTATTGTCTATGGTGTGTAAATTCCAAATTCTAAGACTGTTACCTTTGTGTTTACATCTAGGTTTAGCCTCCAGGTTATAGAGTTCATTAAATGCTAGGTTATGTTTCCTATACCATATCACTATCTAATAACTTTAGGGTTCAAGATATCCAAAGTATGTCAAATTCCTCGCTTTCCTTGTCCATGGATATCAGAGGGCCAAAGCTTTGGGAAATCATTAGAGATATAAACTTGAACAAACTTGCAATGCTTTTGTTTTTGCAAGCCAAGCTCTCTCTGACAAAAAGTCTTGAATAAAAACATTCATTGATAAATATAGGAGTGTAGTAATGATGTTATTATGTCCCCCAAACAAAGTTATTTTGTTTGTTCTTTCTCTACAAATTTCCATCTGCAAAAAAACATAATTTAAGGTCACAGCTACAGAATTTTCTACCCTGAGTATACAAATTTGAAACCCAACCCCTTACCTGGGTAAAAATGCTGCTGTTGAGAATGGTCTTTATGTCGTTAAAAATGAGAAAATCCACTACACCAGTGATTATTCTTCGTTGCTTAAAAACAATTTCATAATTCCTTAAATGTAAGTTCAAAGATGCACCAACTTTATTCACTACATTAGTGTGTGTGTACTGCACATGTACAACCTGAAGTACAGGCCTACACAGATTCATCACAGTCCTGTACTTAGTTCTCATGTACAACCTGAAGTACAGGCCTACACAGATTCATCACAGGCCTGTACTTAGTTCTCATGTACAACCTGAAGTATGGGCATACACAGATTCATCACAGTCCTGTACTTAGTTCTCATGTACAACCTGAAGTACAGGCCTACACAGATTCATCACAGTCCTGTACTTAGTTCTCATATACAACCTGAAGTACAGGCATACACAGATTCACTTAGTTCTCATGCAAGACATCAATCAGCTCTACACTGGCTTGCAATTTTTTTTGTCTACACCCGTCAGAATTTTTTGTAAGAAATGTATTTGGTAACCGTATAAACAACGCATTGGGATGTATTTTACAGAATTACATTTGTTCAAAATTGGGAGTACACATGTATATGGAAGCAAAAGAGCGGCAAAAAAATAAAATGAAACTTCAAAACATTAATCTAGGAGTGGAATTCACTACTGATCCTACTCTTCAAAATGTAGCTATCCATGAATTGTAAATGCAAAATACAAAAATGAAATATGAAAACATTGTTATTAGTTTAGATTGCTATATATTGAATATAATGTGTCGGGTGTTATTAGGTCTGAAGAAGAAAAAAAAGAAAGAAAAAGCAGTGAAAGTAATTTCAGCATTTAGTGTGAATGTAAAGTTACTTCAGAGTGAAAAGTTATTACATTATCAAGATTAAAGGCAGATGAAACGTTTGTGCAGGGTTTAAAATTAAGTATTTCTTTTGGTTTTGTCACAAAAACTTGCACATTTTAAGTTAAAATACCAATATCTAAATTTTCATGTGTTTCGATAAAGGACATACTTCAGTGCTTATTTTGATATGCAACTTTTATATATAATTTATAGGTACAATATTTTCACGGGATGTCCCGAAGCCAAGACCTGCACATTGATCCTGAGAGGTGGCGCAGAACAGTTCATTGAGGAAACGGAGCGATCTCTTCACGATGCCATTATGATTGTGAGAAGGGCCATGAAGAATGACGCTGTTGTAGCTGGTAATATAGAGTTTAATGACCAGCCTTTATCCAGTCAGATATCGCAGATAAACTGATTCTTGAGTACCCCTCTTAGTTGCTAGGGTAAAATAAGTTCCTTTATTGTTGTGAAATAAGGATTAAATTTGATGAAATATGGAAGTAGAGTGAGGGTTATATATCTTTGTGAGCCTCACTGCTCACCTTGATTTTATTCAGAGGAGATTTTTAAGGTAGCATAAATCCTTAGATATACTGTGAATGTAAGATTTTGGTGGTAATATTATTTTAGCACTTTTCAATCTTAAAAAATGTCCCTGATTGAAGTTTCTGTGTATTGTTATCTATTGTATATATAGTGTGGGTAATTCATCAATGTTGATCAAATTTGGTAATGCTAACATTCTGAGCCGAAATCATTACCAGTGATATTTGGGGAAAACAACCAAAATCTGGTCTCAAATTTACACCTGTCTGGGAAAAAAACCCATGAATGTGTTACAAACAACTATATTTGTGTGTGTAAATTACAGCCATAATCAGGATTATAATGAAGACTCTAAACATGACATGTCCATCTTGTTGCAGGTGGTGGTGCTGTTGAGATGGAGTTGAGCAAATACCTGCGGGACTACTCCCGAACCATCGCTGGCAAAGAGCAGCTGCTGATAGCGGCTATAGCCAAGGCATTGGAGGTTATCCCACGTCAGCTGTGTGAGAATGCCGGATTTGATGCTACAAACATTCTCAACAAACTCCGACAGAAACATGCCAGTGGTCAGTATTGTAAAGCACTTGAATAGCTAGTTGTGCCCCCACCCCCCACCCCAAATGTTTATTTGACCGTCTGCCAATAGCGATGGCAGGTACTGCTTCACTGAAACATAGAAAGTTCTGTGTGGACAAACGAGCTACAATCGCCAAAATTTCACAAACTTCACGTAAACAAAGCAATAGATAGTTCAACTTTTTAACAAGTGAATGAAAACAACAGACTTATAAGACGTACGATAGTTGTTATAAATTAATTGTGTTGGTAAAGGTTTGTAATGTTTTAGAGTGCATGTGGTATTGGATGATAAACTGAGGATTTGTACTCTATACTGGGAAATGTTTGCCCCGTCAAACTCTCGCCCTTTGCCTTTACTCGGTGTTAACTTCGCCTTTCGCACATAATCACTATGAAAATTATGTTGTTGACCAAGGGTCAATGTTATGATAAATTTGCACTCATTTCAGAGGAAGAAAAAATAAACTGCAGCGGAAGTTTTTCCTAGCATACATTTATTTATTTTGTTTGATAGTTTCTTGTTGTATATTTGGCAGGCTCCATGTGGTACGGTGTGGATGTGATGAGTGAAGATATAGCCGACAACTTGGTCGGATGTATCTGGGAACCAGCTGTCGTCAAGATCAACGCCCTAACGGCCGCAGCAGAGGCTGCCTGTCTCATCTTGTCAGTGGACGAGACAATACGAAATCCAAAGGCTGGAGAGGGCGGAGCTCCAGGTGGCGGGATGGGAAGGGGGCGTGGCAGGCCTATGTAGGTCAGCTAGTTAGGGCATTAAATAATTGAACAAATGATTTTTTATAGGTATTGCATCATGTTGAGCACTGTTCAGCTCAGGCCACCAAGTCATAGGTAAAGCTGAAATGTTTATGGATTAGTCACAGGACAAGCTGAAATGCCATTTAGTTCTATTTGATGTCATCAGTTGTCTCCAAAGCAAACGAAAACATTGTTCAAGTAAGTTGAATTCTTTCTCTGTATTCCACGAAGCAGCTTTTCTGATGAATGGAAGAGAATGATTTATGACCAAAACAGACTTGAAAGCTTGATGAAAGGCAGTGAATATATTTCCAATATGTTCTGTTAAACAGATTTAAGATTTGTTGATCTCTTTTAATGAACAAAACAAAAAACAGTTTAGTGCTTTATAAGTGATCAATGTGATAAATATTTATTTCCTTCGCGAGTTAAATGTGTTCATGTTCACATTTGAACCATTTGTATAGTAAGTGTGCGAGAGAGTCGAGATATCTGTTCGTGTGTGTGTGTGACCCCACAATCCTATGCTTCTTTTGCAGAAGTATTTATATATCAACCATAAGTATTTCTAAAAAAATATTCATGACAAAATGATCTGAATAAAAAACATTTAATTCTGTTTGATTTCATCTTTTTATTTATAGCATAATTTCTTTTTCAAAGAGCAACCATTTTACTTCGGTTTCAACGGATAACGCTCCTGCTCACCTGATTATAGGAATGTACATTACCTTGGTATAGTGAAACATGTATCTTTCAAACTCTTCCTAAAACAAAGTAACATTTTATGACCCGTGACATAGTTTAAAATTACACTATTAATATATATGACACTAGTCTATAAGGCAAACAACCAGGTAGTTACATCTGTCCCCACAGATTTGTTATCAATATATTAACCTACAGTAAAATGCTATTCTAGCTGTTGACAGAATTATACACGATACTCGGATTTTATCATTCCAAGACATCACGACCTGATTTTTGTGACTTGCCCAATTATTAATGAAGACATTTGAGCTGCATATATCATTGAAGGGTTTTGCCTGTTTATCTTTGCTCTTGCTATTGTTGACAATTTACACCAGTAATTTTCGTGATTGTTATTAAAAAATAATTGTTTACAAGGACTTGAAATTGTAAATGGAACATCAGCTTTGTCTTTGAATACATTTTTGATTAGTCGGGGTCAGTATTCATGAAACCGTTCTCATGCTCAACTTAGATTCTGATCTCGAGGCCTAGTTTCTTGTTCAGTAGGTAATCGATAGATAGAATTCACATTTGGTCAATGATTTAAAAGAATTTTGGAGAAGCTTAAAGGGAGGTTCTGTTTTCAATGTTCACACTTGACAATATTTTACACCAGCATATACTACACTTTCAAATTAAATGTTAACTCATTCGACCCTACATATCTAAACTGGACTTGTCCAGTCTTGGATTTGGCAAGGTTTAAATGTGACTACAGGGGTGAATGGGTTAAGACTATAATTGCTGGTGGAAAACATGATATAATCTGTTAACAATTTCACACCTGAGTAATGCATTAAGTAGATGAAACGTTTTCCCTACTTTATAACACTAGTTCCACTACATAAAGAGTTCATTTCTTTGTTTTAAGTCTTTGCAAAAAAAAAGTTATCAATTTAATCGAGAGGGCTGCGATCAGATCTTCATATTTTACAACATTTGATTCTAAGCAAGTGAAGGTTTTATGTTGGCTTTGATTAATATGCACAAAAATAAGTGAGTTTTCTGGTATTTAAAATGATCAATGGTGACAATTTAAAACAAGAAAATGTTTCACACTGTAAACAAATCACCGGTTTTAAATGGCATTTCTTAAACAAAATAACAACTGGACTTAATGGTCAAGGGATCCGGAGATAACTAGCCCAGGAAACTACATGTTGATTCAGTATTATCGGGACAAACGAATAATTTCATCATGGTGAAGTTTGGTAAGCACAATAGAAAAACAAGTAAGTTATGGAATATTAAACAAAATATTGTGAATACATATTAAGAACACATTCTTCGAGTTTAAGGTAAAAAGGTTTTATATAAACTTTAAAATGTACGCTAACAACATGAATGTATAGTTCATGTATAAGAAAGTCTGCATAAATTATGCAAATTATGAATAGCACTTCCGTTTTTTCTGTTGATATGGTTTTCCTTAATATTGACCCTATTTCCCTAAAATGGATATAGGTCGATCATTATTGCTATTGTTTGTCAGATTTAACGAAAGTCAGATCCCAAGATGACTACAGCTCTGCGTCGTTGTCAGCGTGTGGATTGCGAGCGAGTGAACCCATTGGATCCCAGGCGGGCAGAACTACAGGCGTTTGGTTGAGAACGTCCAGGATTTCAGATGGAACGTGCTTCTTATCAATGACAATTTCGTAAACAAACTCGGAGAACCAGTCGTCTGTCATCACGTTGAAGCCTGTAACATAATGAGGGTGTTTACAGTTCTACCCAAAATAAGACATAAAATAACAAGTTTTTATTAAGACATAAATGAAATGTATTAGAAAATGTCTATTCATATAAGGACACTTCGCTTCAATTTTATGTATGCTAACTTTCGATTTATTTTCGGGAAATGAACACCCCCACCCCCCGAAAAAGGAAATAAGCATAATTGTGGGGGAAAAACTAGAGGCCTCAACAGTGGCCTGAATAAAGGATGGTATCAGAATTGGCCAGAAGCTGGTCAACTGTTACAACATGCAAATGTATCGGTAATTGTAAAATCTAAGCAAGCTTAAGCAAGTTACCAGTATTTTGGTATTTTGCTCAGATTTTCAGTTGTAAATAATGGAAACAGTAGACATGAAAACAGGAAATTTATATTGTACACTGGAAGACAAATGTTATAATAAAGAAATAAAATCCAAGGGTCAGACCAATTCTTGTAGCACAGTTTTATTCAATTCTTCATTCCGCGGAAGTATATGTATGGGAGGGGACCTTTTTCATTTCCCATGTTATGAGTCCAGACTGTTCAGATCCCTAAGAAAATCCTGGTAGCATTGCTGAGCTTGTAATTTCATATCCAGCAAGTGTATTATTTTTGTGAACTGGGAATCCCAACCGTTTGTAAATTATGACCGAAGATCACATTCCATGGACCCTGGAGAGCTTGGTCTCGCCGAAAAAACATTTTATATAATATTTATCATAAAATATAAATAAATTAGATCTTTGATTTTCTGAAATGATAAATCCATAAGCCTTTACGCATAAGTAATATGAAATGTATAAGAGTTATCTCCCCTACACCAAAACTGACTACAAGTCTTATGTTAAACTCTTGACTTTTGTGAGCGACCCCATTAATGGCATCAGCTCATCAGTTGAGGCTTGTTTTATAACAAGAGGCCCAAGGGCCTTAGCGGTCACCTGAGTTATATCATAGGTACTGGTAGCTTTATTTTATTGTTTAGATGTGATGTGGAAATCAGCATGTAAACTAAGTGAAATACAATACTTGTCATGTCATCAATGGATAAGAATTTGAAAATATTGGTAAATGTTCCCTTTGGGGCCCCGCCCTAGCCCCTGGGGATGGGGCAGGAATCCTAATTTTACAAAGTAAAACTCTCATTTACCCAAGATGATTCTGACTAAGTTTGAGCAATTTTCTGCTGAAAATGGATAAAATATATACCGAAAAGTGTTATTTCCCTATATAAACTATATTAAACGTTAACCCCTCCCCAAGGGAGAACGGATAGCTCGGGGTCCTGATATTTTCAATTTAAATAAAGCCCCTGATGATCTTTCTTTCCACGTAAAGAAAATCACTGTAGTACCTCTGAGTCTGGAGAAGAAGATTTTTGAAATATTGATTAATTTTCCCTTTGGGGCCCCGCCCTGGCCCCAGGGGTCGGGGTAGGAATCTCAATTTTACAATTTGAAACCATCTACCTCCAAGGATAATTCTCACCAAGTAAAAATAATTTCCTACAGAAAGTTGTCAAAATATACCCAAAAGTGTTATTTCCCTATATAAACTATAGTAAACTTTACCCCCTCCCCAAGGGAGAACGGATAGCTTGGGGGTCCTGAAATTTACAATTTAAGTAAAGCCCCTGATGATCTTTCTTTCCACGTAGAGAAAATCACTGTAGTACCTTGTTTGTTTGTTTGTTTGTTTGATTTTGTTTAACGTCCTATTAACAGCTAAGGTCATTTAAGGACGGCCTCCCCTTTGTGCAAGATGCATTGCGTGTAGTGTATGTGTGTGTATTTTGGGAGGCTGCTCTGAGTCTGGAGAAAAAGATTTTTGAAATATTGATTAATTTTCCCTTTGGTGCCCCGCCCTGGCCCCAGGGGTCGGGGTAGGAATCCCAATTTTACACTTTTGAAGCCTCATCTACCAAGGATGATTCTGACCAAGTTTGCAAAAAAAACTCATCCACTGGTTCTTGAGAAGAAGTTGAAAATGTAAAAGTTTACGCACGACGCACGACGGACGACGACGGACGAAAAGCGATTAGAATAGGTCACTTAAGCAAAGCTCAGGTGACCTAAAAATCGTAAGTTTCAGAGAAATCTTGTTAAGGTTCAGCACTTTGTGATCCCTTATGGCCCTGCCTCTTAGTCACCTGCAGAGGGACAGCCCCTTGGTCACCTGGGGGGCAGCCCCTTAGTCACATGTGGGACACTCTTAGTTACCTGAGGGGCAGCCCCTTAGTCACCTGTCCCAGGTGACAGCCCCTTAGTCACGTGTGGGACAGCCCCTTCTTGAGATGAAATTTTGATCCTCATCATCTAAGCATCCTCCTGTAAGTTTCAGTGAAAAGGTTTTGCACTTTGTGACCTCTTATAGACTCATTTGGGTCAGTCCCATCTTGAGTATAGATTCTGATCCCTCCCACTAAGTTTCATCAATTTCTGACAAACAGTTTCTGAGAAGTAGTCAAAAATATGATTGCTTATGCACAATGCAAAACGGATGATACAAAACCGATTAAAGACAATCGCAATCCTGCATAACTCGGCTGATCTAACAAAACAAAACAAATCCTATCACATTTTTTCTGAGACTTAAAAACTTGGTATTTCATTTTGATGTCCTATTGATTATAAATTTTGTTAAAAAAACATGTGTTAACCAGATGGAGTTGTAGAGACTTGAATATATACCTTTATCTCCGTCTGCGTCTCCCCAGGAATTCTCCACGCGCCACCTCACAGTCCTTTTCTCATCCTGATATAAAATACAAAGAATTTCTCACTACAATGGTCCTTAAACTGGCAAATGATGTTTTTTATTTATATTTTATTTCAGAAGTTCAGTTTCGGTACACAGACTGAAATATATCATGGATTAATAAGTAATTTATGTATATACACTTCATTTATTTTACAACAATTATGAAACAAGTAATTTCAACTTATATCAATCACTCTTGTTGGCACAGATTTTAGCACGCAGAGGGTCTTAATGTGGAAGGAAACCAGAGTACCTGGGGAACTCCACATGGTCGGGCAGGTAGCCCCATACCTTCCCATGTCCGTTGGGGAATCGAACCCCGACCGCCTTGGTGATGGGCGAGTGGATTATCCAATGCACCACCGGACCACCAAATTTAATTTATGTGTGAAACGACCATATCTTTATTAGTTGAATTTCCATGTTTGGTAATAAGCCAAAGGTACTTGTTCAACAGAGCGTACAGATCGGGGCAGAAATGGTCGACGGTGAACCCTGGGACAATAGAACGGCAAAAATCTGTTAAAAGTTTTGATATTCACACTGCATACAAATATTAATTTGAAACTGAAGAATTTGTATAAAGTGTTTTTCTACTTGTTTCAATGAAGTGTCAAATGAAGTTCAGAATCCCTCTAACTATCAAGTAAGCCTTCTGAGCTGATGTTATTGGGGAAACCACACACAGATAGCTATAGATGATCTCAGATATTTTCTTAATCTACACATATCCAGATGTAAACTCTTATTTTGTTCATTAAGACAATTAAATAACATGGCTACTTCAAATATATAAGTAGCTGATCTTTTGTAAAGAAAACTCAATTTGGGTTAGACATGATTTTTTGTCTGAAAAACAATAAAGATGATGAACCATTTTTTGTAAATATTGATCTTTGGTTTAACAACGTACTACAAAAACCACATATTTGCATAGGTTAGAATTTATTCTGTGAATTGAATTTGTAAAGGAATAACACCAGCTAAAATCTGATGGATTGTTTTTGAATACAGTCACACTGAAACCACCTTCGGGGAGTCCATGATGTGGTCTCTTGTTACAGATGGTCTCCTCATACAGTTTTATCAGTAGTCACAATGTACCCTAAGTACCCTCTTAAAAAGGCGATATATCCAGCAGTTTTTGGAATTCACTTTACATTCTCGAGTCGTGAATTAGCATTACGGCATGTGTCGTAAGAGAATGTGTGAACATTTCTGTTTACAAACGTGTTGACCGTACCTCTACATGATTGGCTGTTAGCACTATGGCATGTGTCGTAAGAGAATGTGTGAACATTTCTGTTTACAGATGTGTTGACCGTACCCCTACATGAGTGGCTGTTAGCACCATGGCGTGTGTCGTAAGAGAATGTGTGGTCATTTCTGTTTACAAATGTGTCGGTCGTACCTCTACGTGAGTGGCTGTTAGCACCATGGCGTGTGTCGTGAGAGAATGTGTGGACATTTCTGTTTACAAATGTGTCGGCCGTACCTCTACGTTAGTGGCTATTAGCACCATGGCGTGCGTCATCAGAGAATGTGTGGACATTTCTGTTTACAAATGTGTCGGCCGTACCTCTACGTTAGTGGCTGTTAGCACCATGGCGTGTGTCGTAAGAGAATGTGTGGACATCTCTGTTTACAAATGTGTCGGCCGTACCTCTACGTGAGTGACTGTTAGCACCATGGCATGTGTCGTAAGAGAATGTGTGAACATTTCTGTTTACAAATGTGTCGGCCGTACCTCTACGTTGGTGGCTGTTAGCACCATGGCGTGTGTCATCAGAGAATGTGTTAACATTTCTGTTTACAAATGTGTTGACCGTACCTCTACGTGAGAGGCTGTTAGCACCATGGCGTGCGTCATCAGAGAATCGCCATACTGTAATCGTTCAGCTTTATTCATCCCCAACATGCTGGTGCCGAAAACCAGTTCAGTGTTAATTCTGATGACAATAAAACATAACACATTTCATAGTTGATGTTTTATCAAGTTGATCAATTTGCACTAGGAAAAATAAAATAAAATATTTCAGCTTATTAATTACAAATGAAATTGATTCAAATTAAATTAAATATTTCAGCAAATTATTTACATATCTAATTGATTCAATTCCATTGGTTACCAATTCACCTACGTATAAACTAAGGAAAAGTCAGTGAAGGGCAAACAATTATGCTTATGAGCCGTACGGCTTCAAGTTGAATTAACAATACAATACAAAACAAGGTATTAAATAACAAGAGGCCCATGGGCCTTAACGGTCACCTGATATATTTATACAGAGAGTTGATTTTGTTTTTAACATGTACAGAAATATTATTCAAAGTGACAAAAAACAATAAAACCACCTTATTCAATATCTAGCATACAGATTTAAGACTAAAAAGTATTTGAAACTAGCACCTCTGATTCTAAACAAGGAAAATGAAGAAATTTTAGCACACTGACTCCTTTGGGCCCCATCCTACAGCCCTTGGGGGTAGGGCTGGCTCAAAATTTCAAAGTATCAAACTGTCAACTCAAGGTTATAATTCTAATCAAGTTATTAACCTGTAATATTCAAAGTATCATTTGCCATTATAAACCATAATAAATTTTGCCGCCCCCAACCCCTTCCTTCCCCAGGGTGTAAACGTGAGACCCTAGGGTCATAAACCTTAAGACTAAGACCCTTCCATCTATCTATGAAGAGTATTTGATTCTACCATATCTGGGTCTTGAGAAGAAGATTTTTGAAATTTTAGTCAATTCAATCCTTTTTGGCCCCACCCATCAGCCCCAGGGGGGTCATTCAGGGCTGATATGTGCATACTATCAAACTGCTACCTAATACTGATAATGCTAACCTAAATTGAATTACTTGCAATGCAAATTAAACAAATGTTGGTCCAAAATGTGATTTCCCTCTATAGACTATTGTAAAGTTTACCTCTTCCCCAGGGGATAACGTGAGACCCCAGGGTCAAGAAATTCACAATTTTGGTAAAGCACCTTAAGACCCTTCCATCTATGAAGAGTATTTGATTCTACCATATTTGGTTCTTGAGAAGAAGATTTTTGAAATTTCAGTCAATTCAACCCTTTTTGGCCCCACCCATCAGCCCCGGGGGGTCAGTCAGGGCTGATATGTGCATACTATCAAACTGCTACCTAATACTGATAATGCTAACCTAAATTGAATTACTTGCAATGCGAATTAAACAAATGTTGGTCCAAAATGTGATTTCCCTATATAAACTATAGTAAAGTTTACCCCATCTCCAGGGAAAAACGTGAGACCCCAGGGTCAAGAAATTCACAATTTTGGTAAAGCACCTTAAGACCCTTCCATCTATGAAGAGTATTTGATTCTACCAGATCTGGGTCTTGAGAAGAAGATTTTTGAAATTTTAGTCAATTTGACCCTTTTTGGCCCCGCCCCTCAGGCCCCTGTGGGCTTGGGACTAAACCGGCAACTATTTTTGTTGAACTTTGTCTATGGAAGGTTCCTGCAAAATTTCATTAAAATTGGTTCAGAAGTTTTGGAGAAGAAGTTGAAAATGTAAATTGTTTACGGACGCACGACGGACGACGATGGACAAAAGGCGATAGCAATAGGTCACTTGAGACTTTGTCTCAGGTGATCTAAAAATCTAAAATCAAAATCTAGATTATATTTAATCAGCAAACACCCACATGTTGAGGTCTAGAATCCCTGGCTTCCGGCTGAAAAATTTGCCAACATCACATCCGAACCACACAGGCTGCAAAGAGAAAAAGAACAGCATTACAAAAATCCAAGCCTTAATTAGTATTAATAGACCTCATGTTCTGTTGAATTATTGACGACACAGACAGGCTTCTTGTATATATACCTGGTAAATATTCAGCTGAAATACTCCGTCTAAAATTGTAATCAATAATCAGTCTGCAATCGGAATTAGTAAACCGATTGATGACCTATTGCATTAATGGTTTATAATTTTATGGAACGGAATACCCAAATCAAGTGAGACCACTCCTGTAACATCAATAGACAGAGTTGTTAACTATACATTAGGTCTTGTTCTTTTATAATGAATGGATTTCAAGCAACTTACATGCAGTTTTGCTAATCATATACATGTAGTAAAAATCATAAGAACAAATGACTTTCAATGTATACTTTAAAATGTATACATTTGACACATTGATTTAAATAATGGACCGATTATATTGGTTATTGATTTTGTAATCAATAATATTAATACGGCAATCGGAAAGGACAGTCCGATCAATTTTCGATTAAAATCAATCATCAGCCCATCACTAACTGTTGTTACTGCGGAAGACAGTGAAACTTTGTTACATCACTTATATTTATATATTTATTTAATATCTTCATTTTCAAGATACTAATATATACATGTATATAAGACAGAAATGACTATTTTTACCTCATTATTTTACATTATTATGGAATCTGTCCACAAAACAGAAATCATAGTGAAAATGATTCAAATCTCAATAGCGAGTTTAAACCTGGGGGTTGAATTCCCCTGCCTTGATAGACTAGGTATGTACATATATATACCCTTACAATAACATTTCTC